ATGGAGCAGGAGGTGTCCCTGCCCACGGAAGGTGTTGGGATGAGATGATCCCTGAGGTTCCCTTCCATCCCAAACCATTCCATGACCCTGTGGAAAGGCTCCTCCATAGGCAGTGGAGAGAAGGGACCATCCATAATGATTCCGAGGGATTTGGTGCCACCCTGGAGCACTTCCAGATGGGTTTGGATCCCTCCCTCCCCGCCAGGAATCCGTTCCTTGCATCTGATGGGAATGAATTCCATAATTCCAGGTGGCAGAGTCACATTCCCGACTTTTTGCTGCTCCAAAGGGAAGAGAAGGAGAAGCTTTCCTCCCCCTGAAGCTGAGGCCCTCTGCTGCCACTCCCAAACCCGGGAATTGTGGCTGGGGGGATTTTTCCCAGGGAATTCCCGTTGTCCCGGTGCTGACGGATCCGTGTTTCCCGCAGGCTGGTGGTGGGAGCTCCGTACGAATCCAACGGGCAGCAGAAAACCGGAGACGTCTACAAGTGTCCAGTGCTGAGTGACGACCACGGAAACTGCACCAAGCTCAACCTGGGTAGGGCGTTCCAGTCCCAGACATCCCAAATTATCCCTGGAAAACGGGATATTGCGAAGGGATTCCTACCCCGGGAAGGTGGAATTCCCAGAGAAGCCCCATGATTCCTGGAAGTGTCCAAGGCTGGGTTGGATGGGGCTTGGAGCACCCTGGGATGGTGGATGGGCTTTAAACTCCCAAATTATTCCATGATTCCCAGTTTGCTTCCCAAAGGGGGAGCTCTGGCTCACGGGGATCTGAGTTGTCCAGAGGATCAGGATTTGGGACACAGCTCAGTGACCAATCCCGTTTGGGACTGACAGGGCTGCCCTGGGGGCTGTTCCCAATTTCTGGAAAAAACAGGGATTCCCTGGGAATCCAGGATGAGAAGCTGAGCCCTCCGAAGGATTTCCTCCTCTCCAGCTCCCAGCCTCATTCCCCAAAAAAATTTTCCTTCCTTGGTTGTTCATCTAGGAAAAAACCCCAGTTTTTCCAACTTTTTTCTCTCCTTCCAAAAAACCCCCAAAACCTTGAGGGAAATTCCTCTCCGGCACACAATTCCCGGTTCCTCCAGAGATTCCAGGGGGCATTTGGGATTTCCTGGGGGTGTCCCTGATGCCAGCCTCTCTCCCAAGGGCGGGTGACGCTGTCCAACGTGTCGGAGCGCAAGGACAACATGCGCCTGGGCCTGAGCCTGGCCACCAACCCCAGGGACAGCAGCTTCCTGGTGAGCAGCATTCCCGGGAACGTGGGCTGGGAATTCGGGAATGTGGGCCGGGAACGTGGGGCAGGACAGGGAGGTGTTGGGAAGTTCCTCTTGGTGGGGTTTTTTAATGGAGTGGAGTGAGATTTATAGGGGTTTGTTGATGAAATATAATGAAATATAATGAAATATAATGAAATATAATGAAATATAATGAAATATAATAAAATATAATAAAATACAATAAAATATAAAAACATAATAAAATATAATAAGATATAATGGAATAAAATAAATTCAAAGTAATTAAAATTAAGTAAAGTGGAAGAAAATGAAATTAAAGCACATCCACGGAAAAGGGATCCTTTGAACCAAATCCTGCCTTTTTTACCGTTTTTCAGGCCTGCAGCTCCCACGAGTGTGGCAGCTCCTACTACACCACGGGAATGTGTTCCCGCGTCAACTCCAACTTCCGCTTCTCCAGAACCGTGGCTCCGGCTCTGCAGAGTGAGGACCAGGATCCCGGCTCCCATCCCAGCTCCCATCCCAGCTCCCATCCCAGCTCCCATCCCAGCTCCCATCCCTGCTCCCATCCCTGCTCCCATCCCTGCTCCCATCCCTGTTTGGATCCCAGCTCCAATCCCGGCTCCAATCCCAGCTCCAATCCCTTTTTGACTGCACAAAACAAAGCCCTCATTGACCAGGAGTCAAACATGTTGGAATTTGGGAATTTGGAGCCGGGATTTTGTTTTGGAGGGTTGAACTGAAGTTTCCTGCCTTTCCCGGAGCTGGGAAGGATTCCCACAAGTCTGTCCTGCTCCTGGGAGCTCCTCATCCCATGGGATGTGATTCCACAAGTTCAGAAAACCCCTCTGGTGTTGGTTAATTCCCAGGGTAGATGGGCTGGGACAAACGGGGTTTGGGAGGAAAGGCAGAACCCACCACCAAATTCCCAGGGCATAAAGAGGGGCTTGGAAAAATGAGATTTTTGGGATCAAGGCAGTAAAGGCGTCATCGAATTCCCAGTGTCACTTCCCTCATTATGTTCCAGCCCTCGCTGCAAAGGATAATTGGGATTTTAGGGAGTTTTAGGAAGTGTTTATTTAATGGGATGTGGGGTCAGCTTCTCTGCTTGATTCCCAGGATGAGATGGAGGCACACAGAGGATCCCAGTGATCCGTGAGTGACTCCAATCCATGGATTCTTTCATCCATTAAAAATTATAGGGTGAAGGAGCAGCCGATAAATCTCCGAAATCCAGGATCACCAAGGAATGCTGTAAAACATCAGCAAGACTGAGATGATCCTGAGCAATTTTCCCCACTGGAATAAAATCCTTAAATCCTTCCTGCTCCGGCTGCAGAGCCGAGCCCTGGGGTCCCCTCCGGGGTTTTTGGCTGCCGAGGATTTCATGGGAAGGGAGGAAATGCCCGCCTTGCTTTCCATGGCAGGGCTGGGAATGACTCAGGGATCAGGCACGGCTCTGCGGGAGGAGCGGAGCCGGATCCCGCTCCTCTTTGAAGTGTAGAATGATATTAAACGGCATCAAATTCCAAAGCTGAATCCCAAATGATGCCGCTGAGTGTTATTCCTAGGAAGTGATCCCATCTTCTCACAGCAGAGAGGATTCCTGTGGCTTCTCCCCACCTTGTTGGAGCCCAGATTCTTTCCCAAATTATTAAAATCAAATTTTTTCCCCCAAAAAATCCAAAGAGGAAGTACCTGGCTGGAAGTGAAGCCATAAATCTGCCCCTTTGCAAGAGGACTTTTAATAAATCCCTGGATTTTCCGCAGGATGCCAGACCTACATGGACATCATCATCGTTCTGGATGGATCCAACAGCATTTATCCGTGGGTTGAAGTCCAGCACTTCCTGATAAATATCCTGAAAAAGTTTTACATTGGTCCTGGACAGATCCAGGTGAGTCCCTGAACCATTTTTGTCATCCCAGGGCCATTCCCAATGTCCCTTTTCTGTCAAGCTGCTGGAATTTGTCAAAATATCGGGATTTTTGACTCATCCCATGGCAAGAAAACGCTCCCATTATTGTCCCTAAGTGAGCTATGGAGGGATCCCACATCCCAATGGGAACAGGGAGGATGAAACCACATGGAAAGGAGCTCTCCATGCTCTTGCTCCGAGTAACCATGGGTTGATTTAGGCAGGAATTTAAGCTGGAACATCCCAGATTTTCCCAAAAATCCCAGTCCCATCTGGAGATGCCATGGGTCCAAACTGGGACAGTCTGGCACATCTCAAAACTTGGAAGCAGAGCAGGGGGGGAGAGCCATAAAATTAGGAATTAATAACAACCCCATGGAGGAAAAACCGGGCGGCGGAATTCCGAAAACAACGAGCGCAGAGAATTTTACCCGCGGTGGGCAGGCCCTGGTCCTGTCGGCCCTTCTGGTGCCATTCCCGTCGTTCCCAGGTGGGAGTGGTGCAGTACGGAGAGGACGTGGTCCATGAGTTCCACCTGAACGACTACAGGTCCGTGCAGGACGTGGTGGCGGCCGCCAGCCACATCGA